GCTTTGTAGGGAAAGAAATACAAAATGTTCAACTAAAAAAAAATCAAATGCAAAAAGCACAAAACCATGCTTACTTAGTATAACAAATGCAAAAATATGTACCATTTTATTAATAGGAATACTTGAGAAATGTCAAAAAAATTGATAAATGTTACAATTGAAGGGAAGGGAAGGGGAGAAAGATTAAGAGATCTGAGGATCTCTGATTTCAAAGCCAGGTTATCAATGACTTTTGAAACACTGATTTGGATGTAAACGTTTAAACATTTAAATAATTAAATATTAAAATATGAGAGAATTAGTCTGTTTGCACGTTGAGTATTCCTTGGAAAGAAAGTGGAAGTTGCTCAGTTGTGTCCAACTCTGCTGTCTGACTCTTTCCGACCCCATGGATTATACAGTCCATGGAATTCTCCAGGTCAGAATACTGGAGTTAGTGTTTCCCTCATCCAGGGGGTCGTCCCAACCCAGGGATTGAACCCAGGTCTCCCACATTGCTGGTGGATTCTTTACCAGTTGAGCCACAAGGGAAACCCAAGAATACTGGAGTGGGTAGCCTATCCCTTCTCTAGCAGATCTTCCCAACTCAGGAATCGAACCGGGGTCTCCTGCATTGCAATCTAAGTATTGCCTTAGATCAAACCAAAAACATAACTCCAAGAAGATAAGAGAATCAATAATTAAAATCCTAATAGTAAGCTACCCATAAGTATTGAATTACTATTCTGGAAACATATGTCCATAGATACCACATATTAACAGAGTTCATATTCCCATTTCCAAGTGAGCCCCTCATTTTTTTCAACAAATTGAATGATAGGTTTGAAGTTTTATTAATCACTATTGCTGTTGAGTCACTTAAATCCTGTCTGACTCTTTGTGACCCCATGGACTGCAGCACACCAAGCTGTACGTGTTCTCCAGGCAAGAATACTGGAGGGGATTGCCATTTTCTTCTCCTAAGTGATCCCTCTCAAGTCAAATGAAGTGTCACATGTTCACTCTCACGCAGTGATGAGATTACATTTCTCATTTTTCTCCATTTATATTCAGTAGTGTTGAACACTTCAGCTTTCCCATTAATCATGGTAAAAATCAGCATGTTACTTCCCTGCTTTGTTTATGCTTATTAGTATATAAATACATATATACATGTGTATATTTATATTTACATGCATATGCATTATACTTAAGGTATAACAAAAATTATAATCAAGGATAAAAAAGTTTTCACTCTTAGAAGTTGTCTTCTCATAATTTGAGAAATTAAATATCCAATTCTAACCATACTTATCTATTATCGCCCCCCAATGGACATGTGAGAGAATATTTGTGATTTTATTTAAAAAACACCAAAACTCTCAATTTGTTTTTACAAAGTAACAACTTTATTTTAATACTAATTCATACACTTAGAGCAGGCTTTTAAAAAATCTTTGTCACTAAGTAGTGAAAGAACATTAAGTCTCATAAAAACCATGAGTCACACAAAGGGATTTTTTGACATTGTTACTCTATTGTTAGAGAAGGCTGATACAATGACCATATAATTTTTAAAATTATAACTTGAAACAGCATATTTTTCTATTTGATTTTGGACACTCCAATCACAGGTCTAATATGTGAGTATTGCAGCATCTATATCCTAGAATATATGCATTGTTCTCATTTTATGCTTCTGCAAATATATGTGAATGGATTTATGTGTCTGAAGTTAGACTGTTGCTGTACTGGTGCTCTCAGAGGCCCAGATTCAGCTCTCTGACCAAACCAAAATGACCTTAAACTTCACCTAAAATATTAATAAAAAAAAAGCAATAAGTCATATAGAAGCAAGTGATTTTTTTCACTAGGCAGATAACTGTCATCCTACCACCATGCACTTATCCTCGTTTTGTCATGTGAGCTTATAACTGAGATCTGTGCACCTCTGTCTGCATCCGTGTTACATACCAGCCCTGACTCTCTCCTGAATGCCAGAACTGTACATCCCACTTCCTGTGAAGCATTTCCCCCTTGAATTCCTGCCAACTCCTAAAATTTCAGTAATTCTAAAATATTCTTTTCCTGCTATAACAGTTAGTAATCCCACTGTTCCTCTGATTGACTTCTTAAAGGGAAACATGGAATTTATTTTTTTAACATCTATTCTTCATCCCATTGTCCGATATTTTCTGGAAGTTTATCTCCGAAAGAGTCACTTCACTCTTCTCTATTTTTCCTACCACCGTTTCTGGCACTGCTCTTATCATTTCTTCTTTCAATCAATTGAAAAGACTTTCAAATAATTTCTTGGCCCATCAAGTATCTAGCATCTTTAGAGAAATAACCTAAAGTTACTAGAAGTTTAGAGCATCAGTTTTAAACTTCACTACTTCAGTTAGTATAGCAAATAATTCCCCCTGAATCTGGCCCTGGGTCTCCTTCCCTCTTTCTCCCTCCCCGATCCTCATTTTCATCTCCAAATCTTATTCTTTCCCCTCTCATTCTGGTGCTTCCAGACAATTATAGCTTCTCAATTTTGTAGCATTTGCTATCCTCATATATGCTTTTCATTCTGCTGCCAATGTTTTTCCTGAAAATGTTCTTCCTTGAATATCTCCACTTTCTTGTCAATTAAAAAATATCTTCTCTGGGCACCTCTTTCTCAAATTTTGGACACTTTCTTTCTTGTGCTACCAGTGAACCTTTCCTACTTCATATCCATTTGATTTTGTACTTCTTACACTGTTCGGTAATTCAATGTTTGAAGGTTCAGTGTCTGCTTTTCTAAACAAATTATAGGCAATGCTAATTGTCCCATTTATTCTATTCTAGTTTTCAATTAAAATTATCTTATTTCCTCCTGATACAGGAGAACAATGAAGTAATAATACAGCATAAGCTGTTAAAATTAAGACCTTAAGAACAAAGTCCTGAGTTTTCTAAGGAACCATGCAATGGTTGGTTTTAATTAGGAAAGAGATTTTCTCTTTTTGTCTTTTATATGAATCTGTATGGTTCTTTCCCCTATTCGTGTTGAGATTGAAATAATCAAATACACATTTATAAAGAATGGGAACAAGGAGAGAATAGAGAGGAAAACAAAATGAGAATGAGGGTGAGAAGAGAGTTTAGAAAGATGGAAATTGACATGGTCGATAACAGAAGATTCAACAATGAAACTCTGCTAAGTTATTTTCCTAAATTCTTGCAAGTCCAGTTCTCTTATTTCAACTATTTAAATTTCTATTAATGAGTATGCATGAAGCACCCATAGGATGCAGAACACAGATTTCACAATTATTTCAAGAAAACAATGTTTTACAAAGAGATATTAACCTTGAGTAAACATGAAGATAATATCTTCTGAAGAGTTGAACATTCTGACATAGAACCTAATTCATTTTCTCAAATAGAGAGCAGTTTGAGCAGCAAGTTTCAAATCACTTCCTCACCCACCTGCCCCACAAATTTGTACTATTCATGATGTCCATCGCACAATAGGTCCTTGGCATTCACAAATAGCATTCTGCAAGTTCACATTGTTTACTCATCACCTTGATTCTGTCACGTGACAGTCTGAATGTGAAATCTTTTTATTACTTTTTTATTTTTTCCTCTATGTGTTCGGTGTGTGAAAGAGATTCACTCAACTAGTAAGTCAACCTGTTATGCATTATTCTTGTGTTGAACTACACTACATTACTTATGAGTGAATCTCATAAAGCTATGCAAATATTACAAAATTAAAAGAAAATCAACTAGGACTGATAATGAAAGTAACAGTAAAATTATCAGAATGCTTACTTAACAAAACAAGCAATTTTGAATGACCTTAGTCAATTCATATTATTAAATCTCTTGAAATGTCATCTAAAATTTTCATACATATTTTAACGTATTACCTATCAGATTTGATTCTAGAAGCAATTTGGGAACTTTTAAATATGCTGTGGCATATACATCTTGAATGCCAAGACTCCAACAGATTTATAAAAATGGATTTAGAGGTTTTGAGTGAAATATCAATGAACATTTCTAAGCATGAATTTCATGTACATTTATATTAATATATTTATTTCTGAAGGAATACAAACATTTATGTTAATATATTTATTTCTGAAGGAATACAAATTAACTTTATGTAAATTATGTTAAATCTAGGGTGTCTTATTAACTTTTTGATGTGCATGTGTTTGGTTTGCTGCAAATCCATTTTCTAACTAAATGGGTACTGGCACTGCTGATCCCAATTTTGTGTAAATAGGCACATTCACCAATCCCAATTATTTTAAACCTGAAACAAAACACAAAAGGGAAAGAAAAGGGCCAGAGAATGAGTGGATACTGCAGAAAAATTATTGTCTGCTCTCAGATTTTATTCTAATCCAACATCATATTATTTGAATATAAAGCAAACTGAATTCATATGTTTTGCCTATCCTAAAGCATAGCTTTATAAACTGTATAGTCCATGGAATTCTCCTGGCCAAAATACTGGAGTGGGTAGCCATTCCCTCTTCCGGGGGATCTTTCCAACCCAGGAATCAAACTCAGCTCTCCCACACTGTAGGCAGATTCTTTACCTTCTGAGCCACAAAGGAAGCCCAAGAATACTGCAGTGGATAGCCTATCCCTTCTCCAGGGGATCTTCCCAACCCAGTAATTGAACTGGGGTCTCCTGCATTGCAGGCGGATTCTTTACCAGCTGAGCTACCAGGGAAGCCCTTATAAACTCAAATTATCAATAATCTATATGATGAAGAAGGGAAGGATCTATTGCCAAATATATTTTAAATGTATGATATTCTAATTATTCAACATCTTTGAAAACTAGTTTTTCTTTCACCTGTATTATTATGGAATAATACATATTACACCTCTCACAGTTTCTGTACCTATTGGATGGTACAATGATTATATGAAGCATTGTGTTTGGAATATTACAGGCATTAAATAATTTGTATAATAACTTGTGTTACCATTTTTTTCCCTGGCTCATTTTTTTTCCACCAAAGGGAAACTTCTAGGAGAATGGCGTGTATGGATTATAACTCAGATCTCTCCATGATGAAGGTTCTAAGCCTCAGTTTCAGATGTGTCAATTATATACTCAGGACTTACCAACCCTGGTTGTATAGTGTTCCATCGATCCACTTCCAAGTCTGCCCTGGTTTTCGCCTCAGCCCAATCCAATATTGAGAACGGTCAGAATATCGCTTCAGGAAATTCTTTAATAAAGAATATTTATAGAATAAATTACAAATGCCTCATTTCTTGAATTTTTTTGGTCTAAGTTATTATACATTAAAAAAAAACCACAGACTTTCAGATTTGGAAATGATCTCAGAGTGACTTTGCCCTTCTCTGGTTCATGACTCAATTCACAGGTTATGTTACTTTTGTAACAGTTTTGTAGCAAATTGCATTGGGTAGCTTTCTCTCTTTTTTATTTTCTAGAAGAGTGTTTATAAAACAGTAATTAATTTTTCTGTGAAGGTTTTATCTAATTTGATCAAATCTTTCTAGGTTTGGTGGCTTTTAGGATGGGAGAATTTTGTTCAATAGTAAAACGTATTGAATAGTTATTGGTTCACTCAGGTTTTATATACCTTCATAATTTATTCTGATACATTTTATTTTCTGTTATTTATTACCACTAACCTAGCTTTATGGGTTGGTTTGATTTTGGTTAATAGTTGCCTTGCATATCTTTTTTTTTTTTTTACCTTTTCTCTAACTTTTCTCTGTGTGTGTGTGTGTGTGTGTGTGTGTGTGTGTGTGCATTAGTTATGTCTCTGTAAGTAGGACATAACTGAACTTCATTGTTTTTTTAAAGCCAATCTGAAAATTTTTGTCTTTTAAGAGATAAATTAAAAATATTTACATTTTATCATGATTTTTGTTATATTTGGATTTACCAATGTTGTGTTTTATTTATTTTTCCGTATTTATTTTTACTGAATTCTGTTGGATTGATGGTTTTTATGTCTTTATTTTAACACCTTTTAAAAACATTTTTTATTCTTTCATGATTACCACTTGATTCTTAAGAAATATACCTATCTATATATATATTCTAATTTTTAGATTGTCTATGTCTAAACAATTCTTTACATAACTGTTTGGACAATTATCCTTTTCTTCAAGGTCTTCTAACTGGGTGCCATAATTTTTTTTAATCTCTATAGTTTGTAATTGTATTTCTTAGGCTGAGTATTTCTTTTCTCCTTTTCCGTGATCAATCTTGTCTATTCAGAGAACCAGTTTTCCTTCTGTATATCCTCACTTATTATTTTGTTCTACTCTTTTTCTCTTATGCTTATTCCATTAATTTAGCAAATAAATAATTAAGCTTTTGTTCTGTTTCCACATCCATCTGATATTTCTCACTTTCCCTTTGCTTTAATTTCACAATTTATTATTCTATGGAATAGAATTTATAACTTTGCATTTTTCCACCATTCTAATGTATTCATTGAAATATTTTTACCAAAATTTTCTACAAAATTAATGTTAATGTGGGTCGTTTCCTCTTCTGTCCATTCCTAGTAGAGCAAATTGTCAGCAAAGGTTAAATATGTCCCTATGCTCCTTAAGGTCTTAATCATTCTGTCTCTTATCATCTCTGGCATTCTATATCTCTACTGTTTCTGTTTCAAGGTATTTCGTATTGTACACTTTCGAATTTTTCTACTTTAGGCTTTTTTGTACTCCAGAGTTCCTAGATCATCTTGGCTATAACAACTCATGTACTAATTCTCTCCAGCATCTCTGACAAGCTGTTATGATTCTGCTTATCATTTCTTTGATATAGTCCCACAAAAAGCAATTTTTATTTGATATAAAACAGATAGATTAGTATCAGTTCATACTGAGAGCTTTATTATAACTTTTCAATTCTGAATTGTGGAAATGGTTTCAGAGTTCTGAGTTTCATTGCTATAATTCCTTTTGGAAACGCTGTTGTTCTTTTTGTTATTTAGTCACTAAGTCGTTTCCAACTCTTTGTGACCCCCATAGTCTGTAGCCCTCCAGGCTCCTCTGTCCATGGGATTTCCCAGGCAAGAATACAGGAGTGGATTGCCATTCCCTTCTCCAGGGGATCTTCCCAACCCAGGCATTGAACCTGTGTCTCCCACATTGGCAGGCGCATTCTTTACTACTGAGCCACTGGCGAAGCCCTTGAGAATATACAGCCTAGGAACTTATGTGGTTGAACTTTGAAAAACAGTTGTGGTCTTTCTCATGGCAGTAGTATTTAAATTGCTTTATATGGGGCCAAGGGAAAAATGCCTCAGTGTAACTTGTTTCTAAATAGGAAGGGAAAGTTATCTCCTGAGTGTTGTCTGATAACTTACCGTGAGGGTTCTTCTGAGGTGACCTGTGACATGAATGAGAGCTGACTTGATATGAGCTCCTTCTATGGTTTGAGTAAATATGGAAGGCAGGAGCCCCCTCTCTGCTTATCAGAGGGTCTTTTCTGGACCATTCTTATTATCCACACCATCTATAACCTCTGAAAATATAATTCTGAGCAAAAGCATTGGCTTACCAGTTCCTCCGTGGTGTTGAATACAGCAAGACTTGCAGCGTGAGAGGCACAAAAGTTCTGGCTTGCTGCCCAGGTGGTTGTGTTTTCAGAAAAATAGAAGCACTTGCCTAGGAAACCAATCCAGCCTTCCAGACATGATATGTGTTCAGAAGAAGATTTGTGTTTTTCAACTAAAAATGATTGAATAATATCTTAAGTACCGAGGGGGTGGAAATCTTTTAATTTCAAACAGTTGTTCATTTGAATAAAATTCACCAGGTTAGCCCTTCTGTCTATGGATGTTAGACTTCATCGTTCCTAAATTTCTGTACTCCTTTTTTGCTAGGTTGAAAGAAAATTTTGATGAATGCCACTTAAGTAGATGCTGTTTTTACTCAAACTGGGGCTTGATGTTCTTCTCAAGTGATGTTTCTTTCTAGGAAGTCACTCTCATTTTCATGACCTTAACTATTATATATGTTCTGATATTAGTAAACTGATATGTCCAACCAAGGCCTCTCATCAGGCATCTCCTCCATATAACAACCTATTAGACACTCATTCTCTCAACAACAAATATTCAGGAATACACACCATTTAGTATCGCTATTATATTAGATTCATATTTTTAAAAGCATATTAAACATATATTAAAAAGCATATTAAAAAGCAGAGACATCACTTTGCCAACAAAGGTCCATATAGTCAAAGCTATGGCTTTTCATTAGTCATGTACAAATGTTAAGAGTTGGGCCATTGAAAATTCTGAGCACCAAAGAATTGATGTTTTGAATTGTGGTGCTGGAGAAGACTCTTGAGAGTCCCTTGGATTGCAGGAAGGTCAAACCAGTCAATCTTAAAGGACATCAACCCTTATTATGCATCGGAAGGGCTGTTGCTGAAGCTCCAATACTTTGACCACCTGATGTGAAGAGCTGGCTCATTGGAAAAGACTGATGCTGGGAAAGACTGAAGGCAAAAGGAGAGGGGGTGGCAAAGGATGAGATGATCAGATAGCATCACCAAATCAATGGACATGAATTTGAGCAAACTTGGACAGATAGTGAAGGACAGAGGAGCCTGGCATGCTACAGTCCATGGGGTTGCAAAGAGTAGGACGTGGGGACTGAAAAATGGCAACAACCAAGTTATTCTCATGTTATATAGGAGGAAACATAGGCTTATTTCATGTAAGATGTCTGAAATTACCCTTAATTCTGAGCTAAATTATGAAAGGCACAAGTACTATGAAACATTTTAGAGGAGAGTTAATATGAACATATTTGGGAAATGGACCACCCACCTGCTAAAATTGTGGCCAGTGTAATTATTAGGATCACCAGAAAGATGACGACTATGATCATTTTAGGGATACAAAATTTCTTTTTATTTTCTTTTGAGGGTTCTTGTGATTCCATATTAAGGTTGGAACAGATAGCTTCTCCTATAGAAAAATTAATCAGTTCTTTATTACTTATGTGATCTTATACTGTTGTAGAATTTGAGATTAATATATACAAAGCAACCACATTTCTATATACTAGCATTTATCAATAGGAAATTAAAATATAGCTTACCATTTACAATGACATAAAAATATTGAATGCTTATGGATTTATGTCTGACAGAAGACATATAAAACTTGTACAATAAAGATACCAAACATTGCTGAAAGAAACTGAAGACATAAATAAATGGAAAGATAATGTCTTCATGCCTCGGAACACACAGTAATGTTATGATGTCAATCTGCTCATACTAATCTATACATTATCACAATCATACACTAAGTTCTCAGCAGTATTTTTTTTTTTTTTTTGAGTAGAAATAGGCAAGCTGTTTTTAAAATTCCTATTGAAATGTAAAAAGAACTAGAATAGCCAGGTTTGAAAGAGAACCAAATTTGAGCACAAGTATTACCTGGCTTAAAGACTTATTATAAAAACTACAGTCGTCAATACAGCATAGTCTAGAAATAGACCCACACATGTGCAGACACCAGATTTTTGGCAAAGATGCAAAAGAGGATATTCATTTTGATAAACAGTACTGGAAATATTGGTTATCTTTATACAACAAAGTACTTTTTGATCCATACCACATCCCATGTGTAAAAACTAATTCAAAAAGGATCATAGAAATAAATGTAAAAGCTGAAGCTATAAAAAGTTTCAGAGAAAATAGGAAACATTCTCTTGTTATTTTGGATTAGAGAAAGATTCAATCCAACCAAAAAGCATGATGTTAAAAAATAATAAATTGGACTTGTATTAAAATTCTGCTCCTCAAAAGATAGTTTTAACTAAATGAAAAGTCAAATCAGAGACTGGAAGAAATATTTTCAAATTCAAAGTCTGATAAAGGTCTCTGGTCCAGAATATATAAAGACCTTGATACTTAAGAAAACACACAACATAACAAAAATACAAACAAGGTGTAACAGACATTTCATGAAATAAGAAATATGTAGATGAAATATATAAATGGCAAATTACCACATAAAAATATGTTCAGTGTTATTAGTCATAAAGAAAGTGCAAATGAAAGCTAAATTTAGAAACTGCTACATACCTATTAGAATAATTAAAGTTAAAATGTCTGACCATAACAAGTATTAGTGAAAATATAGAAGAACTAGAACTCTCTCATTCATTGTTGGTGAAAACAGCAATACCATATT